ACTGTAGTAAGGTCTGGGCAAGAGAAAATTATTCCATTGTCTTTTAGAAGTTAGATCAGTAAGGGTGATGTCATTCATGATGTATGGCTTTCCTTGGGCTCTGGCTGTTCCAGCTATAGGAGAAAATGTGCTACCCCATTGCTGCATGTATTTCTCTAGATCCACAGGCAATATGGCACATAGAAAATCTACTGAAGTCCCCAAAATGTGGCCTTTTTATTAGGGGAAGTAAAACCAACATTTTGTCTGGTGACTTCTAAAACAATTCACATAAAAACAACTAAATAAATAAATTTCCTGGTCTTTCTTGGACTTAAAGATAGGTTTTAAATCTGGGTTCCCAGATCAATAAAATGTGGAAAATATATCATTGCATTTGACCTCCCAAACACTTTTTGTCTTTAGAATTAGTCCTGGATACATCGTCTGCTAATCCACAAATCCACAAATAGATCGACCACAGCAAATGGTCAGTTTGCATTTGAGCCTTAACGTACATGTCCTGGTTTGTTTTCCTTGAACAGATAACTTTAATTATTTCGCTATATATTTAATATGCCAGGTACTGTGTTGGGTGCTAAGGATAAAGCAGAACAAAACAACAAAAATCCTTGCCCTTGTGTGTTTACATGCTGGTGGGGAAGCTTCATTCATTCATTCACTCACTCATTTATTCAACAAGCATTTATTGATCTAATATGACTCAGGCATTAAGCCACACACTGTGCCTAAACAGGGTTTTATCCCTGCCCTCCGAGTCTACTGGGAGAAATTAGGCATGTCCCCATTCCTCCCCTGCTGCCCCCCATTTATAGAGAGTGCAGAAGAGGGGCACCTTGAGTGGTTCAAAGAAAGTTTCTCAGAGAAGATGACAAGTAGGATGAGGCTGGAAGAATGGACTGATGGGAGAGAAAGGCAGTGGTGGTACTGATGAGACAGACCATGGCGTAGGGCTGGGCCAGATGAGGGGATCAGTGAGTGCTGTTGATGGAGGAATGAATGAATGAAACTTCCCCAGGAGAACATAAACTCCATAAGGTAATGTTCTGGGAACTGCAAGTTCTTTCCTATAATAAAGTTTAAAGTGTGTGGGGATGAGCAGGAAATGGGGTAGGGAAAGGAGGTAGGGGCGGGCGTGAGGTAAGTCTGGCTAAGGAGCTTTGTCCTGATGATAATTAGAAAATTCATGGATCGTTTTAAATAGCAACGTGACATGGTCTGATTGTTTTATTCTTTTCTTAATAAAAGTGTATTTTAAAAATTATACAAATGATATGTTTATTTTAGATGAATCTCTAGGGACTTTTTATGGGAGCAGTGATTCATTATGCTCTTTCTATAACTGATACTTTGTGTTTCTCTTTCTGCCTCACAGTGGAAGGACCTCTCTCTCTCATTGGACGTGACATACAGAAGGCTCTCAGAAAAGATTTGCTGTTTGAAATTCCATGGACACTGGTAAAGTGCAGTCAGTTTAGGTGAAGCCATTATCTGGAGCAGATGTGCCATTCTGAGAAACGGGAGCTTCATTACCTAACTGGAAATATTTAATAATTCTCCTTGCCATGTCATTGACACTATATTTTTTTAGCCCCATTTTTTTCATATTTTATTATGGAAAAAATCCAAATATTAATGTATGTGAAAATAGAAAGGATAGTATGATAAACCCTCATGTACCCATCAACCAACTTGAGCAATTAACAACTCACAGACAATCCTGTCTCGTTTATATCCTGTCCTCTCCCTCACCACTGTGTTATTTTAAAATAAGTCCAAGACATCAGATCTTTTTGTATGTATCTCTAAAAGAGAAGAACTTGTTTAAAAAATATCCACAATTATTACACCTAACAAAATAAAAAATTATTCTTCACTGTCATCAAATATACAGTCAGTATTTAATTTCCAATTGTCTCACTTTTTTTTAAGTTAGCTTATGTGAATCATGATTTAAAGAAGGTCCACATTTGTATTAGGTTATATAAGTTTCCTTTAAACAATAGGTTTCCTCTTTTTCATTTCCTTTTTCTTTCCTTGTTTGCTATTTATTTAACTATAGGCTCTTAAATAGAATATGTAAGTTGAAAATAGCACTTGAAGGGTGCCATTTTCCTTCATGCTCACCTTTAGTAGGTTTTTTTTTAAAACCTTTGGTAAATTTTAAGGTAAAAAATTATATTTCATTATTGCAGAACATTGTTTTAATTTGTGAAGCATGTCTAATGTTGCCTTGTTGTTTTTAGCCTGTCAGCTTTATCTAAGCGTTGAGACAAGTGGTGATCACACTATATACCAAATTGAATTCTGGTTGGAATAAGGAGTTAAATGTAAGTAAATAAAGCCATAAAAGACTAAAGTAATATATAATATTGGACATATTTTTGAAAAGGGAAAATGTCATCTAAAGAGAAAAGCAATGGAAGATATCACAAAAAAAAGATTATCAATAGAATTGATAATATGCTAAGTTAAAACTTTTGGTTAACAAACACAAAATGGAAGGACAAATGATAAACTGGGTAGGAGCAGAGCAGAAATAGTTGCCATCAGTGAGAGACAATGAGTTTGTAGCTTTAAAACATGTGGCCTGGTCTAGTCTGTCTCTGGGTCCAGATGGTTCCATTTACAAGATGACCCCAAATCCTTTTCTTTAGACCCCATCTCTTTTTTTTTCATTGATGTATAGTCCGTTTATAATGTGTCAATTTCTAGCATACAGCATAATGTTTCAGTCATATGTGTACATACATGTTTGTTTTCATTATAGGTTATTACAAGATATTGAATATGGTTCTCTGTGTTATACAGAAGAAACTTGTTTATCTATTTTATATATACTAATTAATATTTGTAAATCTCAAATTCCCAATTTATCCTTTCTCACCCCCTTTTCCCCCTGGTAACCATAAGATTATTTACTATGTCTATGAGTCTGTTTCTGTTTTGTAAATGAGTTCATTAGTGTCTTCTTTTTTCTTTTTTTATATCCCACATATGAGTGATATCATATGGTATTTTTCTTTCTCTTTTTGACTTACTTCACTTAGAATGATGATCTCCAAGTCCTTCCATGTTGCTGCAAATGGCATTATTTTATTCTTTTTATGGCTGAGTAGTATTCCATCATCTATATATATCACATCTTCTTTATCCAGTCCTCTGTTGATGGAAATTTAGGTTGTTTCCATGTCTTGGCTATTATAAATAGTGCTGCTGTGATCATTGGTAGACCCCATCTACTTGATTATCTAGAAATTGGTTTTTTTTCCTCAAGATCTCATGCCCCAATTATTCAGTTGAGAAGCCTTCAGAGTGAGGGTGACATTTAGTCTCTCCATTCTGTCTGTTGGCCTCACCATCCTTCTGCTCTGTTGACCCCAAGAGCTCTGCTGGGCCACTGCTGACCTACTCCCTACCACCAGCATCTGTCTTTCTTCTTCTTCTCTAGCAGTTGGGAAAACATTCTCTACTGCTTATGACAGAGTGTTTTCAAAGGGGTTTCCTGCAAAAGAGCTCCTGGGCCCCTAAGGACCTAGTTATTTTTGTTAGACCACAGACCCTGAGTACCCAAAGACCAGGACAAATGTCCACCAGACTGAATAACTTGGGCTGGGTGTGGCATGGAGTGGTCTCTTATAGATAGGGTGGCTTTATACCTACTAATTAAAATATGGACTGGGATAAAATATGAAATGACATACTCAAAAGGTTATTTGTGGAGGTATTATTTTTAATAGCAGAAGATTGGAAACTATCCAGATGTTTTGTAATGAGATTTGGTTGAATAAAACTCTTGGTACATTAATACATGCATTCATGCCCCTGAATGAAGGAGAAGGAATGATCTCTAGAATATATAAGTGAAAAAAGCAAAGTGGAGAAAAATATATATAGTAGCTATCCTTTCTATAAGAAAGGGTGGAGATATATATATATTTCAGGCACAGAAATTGCCACTTTTGCCCTTAGGGCAAGTGAATACAATGAATCTAACTGTATATTGAGTTAATGTTGCTGCACAGAGAAGACAGTGATTTCAAGTGATTCTCCAACATGGTACATTTGCTGTACATACATAGTGGAATATTTAAGGGTGAAGAGAGCTGCAAAGAGATCACTTCATTCAATAGTTATATTGCCAGTAGAAGTCTTTATATTAGTATTTTGAAACTAATATTTATTTTATTAATTTGAAACTAGTTTTTTATATAGTGATATATATATATACATATATATATATATATATATATATACATGTATGTATATACCATTAAGTAATAATTATGTTAATGTTAGGAACCAAGATTTTCACTGTAAGAGAAGAGAAATATAAAATTAAAGGCATTAATATAAGTACATCTTAATATTAATTTGAATTAGAAATATCAGTATATGCTTATGATTTTTTTCTTTTCAAAATTATGTCCTATTTCTGTACTTTTCAGAAAGGCTTAGAAGAATTAAAACCCCAAGGGCAATGGACAGCCTCTAGTGCCCAGACCGTGGTCTCTAAATGACATTCCCCTTTTAAAGGCACTAGGATCATGGATGGCTGATTTCAAGTCTGGGGCAATATGTGTACAAGAAAAGGCTTGTACAACTTGCTGAACCAAAACCTATGATGTTATCAAAGATGGGTGGGTTTAATCAAAAGGACTCAAGTGCCAACATGAAGGGGCTCCAGTTGGCCAAAGATGAGATATATTAAGTATGCAAAAAAGTAGTGATGGAATTTAATTAAAATACATATTTAAAAACCTAATGAGTGCATGGATAGGTGGGATGAAGGAGTGTCCTAACAAAAAATTAACAAAGTCATTGGATAACATTAATGGTAAATAGGTAACACACCTTGTTCTGAAAATTGGAAATTTAAGGGAAATAAGTAACTGTTTCCCTGCTTTTCGAATTCAATCTGCATTTCAGGGTGACCAAATACCCCTAATTAGTGAGGAAAAATTCTTCTTTTCAGACAGTTCCCAGCTAATAAATGTGGATGGAATGACAGAATTAGAAACATCACCATTTTCCAATCCTAATGATAGAACTGATTAAGGCAAAGATCAATAAAGGATGAAAACATCAGATAAACGGCTTATGGAGAACTTTACAGCTGGTTCTGTGGTGCTGACTCTTAGCTCTTGCTTATCTGTAAAGCTCTTGATCTCTCCTTGAAATCTGAATGATAGCCTTGCCAGATAGTGTAGAGGTTGTAGGTTTTTCCCTTCCATCACTTTTTTGGGAGCTCATTCTATCATGAGGCCACCAGTGCTGGCAATGCCATTTTGGAGTCTTCCCTCTAGTTTATCACCCTCAGGACCTGGACCTGCCCACCACTTGGTCTTGGGATTTCCCAGGCCAAGCAGCTAACCGTGCAGCTGGTCTGCTGGGGGTAGAGTCTCTGCATTTTGCAGCATGTGAAGTTTTGTGCACGCCCTTTAAGAGCAGAGTCTCCATTTCCTACAGCCCTCTTGCTCTCCTCAAAGTAAGCCTCTCTGGCCTTCAAAGCCAAATGTTCTGGAGTCCTGTCTTTTTGTTGCAGGATCCTCGGGTGGAGGCTCAGACCCATTCTCTGCAGTTGTAGTTAACCTCCCATTTGTGGGTTGCCTACCTGGGGTGTGGAGCTTGAGTATACTGTGATTCCATCCCCTCTACCTGTCTCATTGTAGTTCCTTCTTTATATCTTTAATTGTAGAAGATCTTTTCTGCTAGTCTTCAAGTAGTTCTCATCAACAATTGCTCTGTAAATAGTTGCAGTTTTGGTATGCCTATGGGAGGAGGTGAGCTCAGGGTCTTCCCACTTGGCCATCTTGGGCCTTCCCTAGAAAAAACAGCTTATGGAGAACTTTGCAGTGAGGAAATCTAGCTGACACCATCCGAATCTGCTGATCAATCTTAACTTCACTAAGAGCGGGACCATCAGACAATATGTGCTTCTTGAGATGCCTTCTTATGGAAAACAGAACCTGAATCTAACAAACCTTTTAGAACTAACCTCTAGTTTACATGAAGGTTAGCGGAGGTAGAGGCTGAAGTTTAAGTCATGCCAGAAGGACATAAATGGACACATCCAGAATATAGGACAGTCTATACAACAATTAAACTAGTTTTATCAAGAAGTCAATAATATGAAAAACAAGCTGGGGCAAGGTGGGGAGAGACTGTTCTAGAATTTTAAAAGACTCAAAAGACATAGCCACCAAATGCAATGCATGGACTTCGCCTGGATCCTGATGCTAGTGAGCCAACTGTAAAAAATATATATTTCTTTGGATATTAGGGAATTTTGAAAATGTCCTAAGATTGGGATGATATCAAGGAATTACTACTTTTGTTAGGTGTGTTACTGGCAATGTGGTTATATAAGAAAGTACTCATATATTTTAGAGATGCAAAATGAAGTATATAGAGAAAAAATAACATGAGTTCTGGGGTTTGCTCTAAAATACTTTCACAGAAAGGCAAAATAGAAATCTTCTGGATGACAATTCAGCCTAGCTCTTGAATGCCAATGGAACAAATAAATAGAAAAAGGCTTTGCAAAAGAGACTAACTTGCTGTTTTTCATTTGTCAGCTCACACTATGCAGTAAAAGCACCTCCAGTGTCAGTGATCACACCTTGGATGATGTGATCGTGGTGGAAGGAAGGGCTGTTGGTGGGTGTGACAGTTCTTTCTCTCACACATCTCTTTTTCGCTAACACCTGGGGTGGCACCTCAGCACATCCAAGCAGGGTACAGAGTGGTTTGCAATGTTCCTTTGCATCCAAAAACTGCTAATCACACCCAGTGTCCTTGCTGATTCACTGAGGAATAATATTTGGTCCTGTCAGTGGATCTCAAGATTTAAAGGGGAACTTGGAAGAATTTAACAAGCACGTTACCCTTATCCCACTTCTCCTGACAGTTCCTCCTTGCCTGCCCTATTGGAGTGAGGGTGCTGGGTGAAAGAAGAAGACACTTTCTTTCTTTTTTTTTTTTTTTCAGATGAAGGATTAAAAAAATCAAGGATGTGAATGCAGCCAAGTGTGTGACCACTCTCCCTTCCAGAACCTGGGGCAGGCAGATCACACTAATGGATCACAGTTTTGTTTCCCTCCGGACTCTTCTTGCCGTACTACTCCAGGTATCACCGTATTGATGAAGTTGTTACGGAACCAAACTTGGTCTGCTTGCCCTTGCACAGTGAAGCCAACCTACTGACACTGGGTTTTGGTGAAGGAAAGTGCAGAATTTATTGCAGGGCATCAAGCAAGGAAACCAGGCAGCTAGTGTTTTAAAAGTCCTGAACTCTCTGATGGCTTTCAGGGAAAGATTTTTAAAGGCAGGATGAGAGAGGGGTCTGTGAGGTGTGTGATCAGCTCATGGACATTCTTCTGATTGGTTGGTGGTGAGGTAATTGAGAGCAACATCATCAACCTTCTGATTCCAACAGTCTGGGTCAATTTGCTTATGGGCAGCATACAGTTACCTTCTTCCACCTCCTGGGGGTTTCAGTATCTGCAAAACAGCTCAAACAATATGGCTCAGAGTATTATCTGTAGCCCTCGGGGAGGAACTAAATAAAGTTCCTTGACTTTGTTTAATGGCTAAATTATTATTGTTTGGTCTTGATTGACTGTTTTCCTTTCTTTCTGTATTTTCTCACTTCTCTGGTTAAATTTATTCTTTGGAATTTGGGGAAGACCTAGGAGGCTAAAGTTTTTCTACAGACAAGTGGCAGGCAGAAGCACGGGAGGGGCTGTCCCAGGAGGGCCCCACAGAGTCCTGCTCAGTTACAAAATAATTCCTACTCAAAACATCTTCAGACTGGATTATAGAGTAAAGCCCTTGCCTAGCTGTATTTTTTAATTTCTACAAAGAAGAAGACAAATAAAAAGAAACATACCTTGAATAGCAACAAAAGGAATTTAGGTTAGATTGGGTTTGAGGAAGAGTCTCATGTGAGGAGGCTGAAATCTGCAAATAATTACTTATAAAGATTAACATATTTTTCTTTAAAGACTTATTAAAACTGAGCAGATTCTTATTGTCTGGAATGGTCAAGGACTAATGAGGACAGCCATTTTTTGGCCTATGTCAGGGCAACTGGTGTTTTTGCCTGCCCAGCATCCATTTCCCCTTCTCCTTAGATATTTTTTACTTTGAGGAAATCTGTTTGCATGGACAGATTCTTCTGCATGGGATGAGCAGACCTAGCCAATCGGATTACCCCACTTCCTTGACCACAGACTTTAATACATAGCTTAAAATATACCCATAATTTTTCATCGACATTAAAATACACCCATAATTTTTCAGCCAGGTCTTTTGAAGAAAAAGCATTGAGATGATAAAATGGCTGGCTGTGCAGCTTGGGTTGCTGGTGGCTACAGTGCCCTTCACATGGAGAGAGCCAACAAAACAGAAGCACTGGAGACATTTGAAAAGAAAGCCCTCCTGCCTTTGGTTCTAAGTGTGCTCGAAACAACAGTAACCCCTGGATAATTTAAATATAAACAACAATAAATTGCCTTTTTCTCTTCCTTAGTTAGTTTGAATTGGGTTAGTGCATTTCCAGGGAAAGTCTTGATTAGCATGGCATGTGAACTGCTTCATTCATTCCATTAACATTTATTAAGCTGTTGCAGTCACTTTGACACCCTGGAGATAGAAGAAGGAAAGATAATCCTTGTTTCAATGTGTCTACCGTTAGAGGCAGTTATGATACAATACTAACAGGTGATGCTTACATAGTGCTTAATATGTTCCAAGCACTATTCTAAACATTTGACATGTGCTGATTTATTTAATTCTTACTACAACTCTTTGAGATAGTTTCTTTACTTTTTCCATTTTAGAATAGGGAAAATGAGGCACAGAAAAGTTAATGGAACTGCCACAGTTTACCCAGTTCAGAAGTAGAAGATCTGGGATTAAAACCCAGCTAGCTTGGCTATTAACCACCATATTCTAGAGCTTCATTATATGAAAGGTCAATGTTGGAGTTATCCTGGAGAATAATCAGTAATAATGGCCACCATTCACTGACTGCTTACAGTGTGCCCAGCCCTGTGCTAGGTACATTCCTGCCTTAACATATTAAATATTTTCGAGGATTTAATGTAGCAAAGATTATTTCTTGTATAGTTGAAGGAACTGAGGTTCAGAGAGGTTAAGTGACTTGCCCAGTTCACACAGCTAACAAGTGGCAGAGCACGAATTTGGATCCAATCTTGTCTGCTTCCAAAGCCTTTGCTCTTTCTTTCATATTTCTCTCAAGGACCTTACCTTCCAGCTTTTCTCCTAGAGGTGCAGCATGTCTGAGATGCTTATGACTGGCAGCCGGTGACTGGGAAATGGAGCCAACAGTGGGAGTCCTCTATCACCAGAGTGTGGCACATTTTATTCATAGCAGAGGTCTTGGAATTTGTATCTGCTTTGCAACCTGATACTTTTGAAAATATATCTGCTGTAGTGGGGGAGAGATTAAGAAACTCATCATAAGTAAGTGTCCCTTTGGGAGAATAAAAAGAGTGTTATTTATTTTTGTGGCAGCCATTCAAATGTTGAAGAAGGAGCAACTTTCTTTTGTTCTGTTTCCTGCCTTCAGACCAGACCTGTGGACAACAAGGCTCTTAGATAAGGTATGTGTCAGGTTTACTTAGGACACAGTGCACATTTAAATAGAAAACCAGGGAAGGGAAGGCAGTATTTGGAGGTGGGGGAGATTTTCTATTATCCCTAACAGGCGTTTTTATCTGATAAAACCACCCCAATACAGGAGAAGCTCTTAAAGTACCTCCATGTAACCAACTCATGGGATTAAGGGATTAACCAGTGCTTTCCATTCCTTCTGGAAAACTTGTCAAAGAAGACGTAATTCTGTGTTCCTGTACCCAAACGTTTATCGAATGCTTGCCAAGCTTTTTATCTTTTTTAGCTTTTTATGTAATTTATCAAATTCTTATAACAGCGACATTTTACAGGTGAGAAAAATGAGGCATGAAGAAGTTAAGTAACTCAGCACCTCTTGAGTTAGATGCTTGCCAGGAGTTAATGTTTGCTAACCAGTTTTTGCCAAGCACCCATGGTATAATTTAATTAAATTGTAAACCTATGAAATATGAGTGTAAAGAGACATTGAGCTATCATTTCTATGAAAACTAAATTGAATGTTTTGGAAAACCTTGATTGCTATTGAATTAGGTATGAGCAAGACCATGCTCTTTTGTGTCTCTCTGACTGGGCCTGCAACTGCTTATTAGAAGATTTTCTCATGTTTTCCTCCTTCAAACTCATCCTTCAGATTGATCTCCTCTGGGAAGCCTGCTTAGGTAGTCTGAATGTTACTGGTTCTGGGACTCATGGCAGGTTGCTTAATCTCTCTGAGCCTTAGAGTCTGTATCTGTGAGATGGAGATAATAATATTCACCTTGCAGGATTGTCTTAGAAATTAAATGAGGTTATCTGGCCTGTGGTAAGTACTCAACAAACCGCAAAAATTACAGTGTGCTTGTTCTTACGCTGGGGGCTATGGAAACAGGTGAACGAGATAGTCCCTGCCTCCAGAAGCCAAAGCCTGGCACAGACTGAGTGCCTGCTTTTGGCTGCACTTGCCAGTGGTGAGGGGAAGCAGATTTTCACAAATGTAAATGGAAACTCTTCTAGATGTTTTCAGACACTGGCACCATTATGTCATCTAAGTTCTCAGCATTTTAATAACTCATCCTGAGGGCCTGGAACACATCAGCACAGAATCTTTCCAGCTACATCTTTCTTATATATAGTCACTAAATGATTTGTCCTGAAGCCTAAAGGAGCCATTGGAATGCCTTCAGGAGGAACAGATTGCAAATCATGGAGGCCACATGGAGCAGGCTCTGGAATTTCTCCAGGTTGGGTTCAAATCATGGCTCTTTGACCCCAGGAAAGTTACATAATAACTCTGAGTAGCAATTTCCTCATCAGAAGAGCAGGGGTAATGATTCTCATTTCATAGAAGGTAATAAGAAGCAGATGAGATGAAGTGTCAAGTGTCCAGCACAGTACTTGGTGTATAGTTATTACCTGATAAATGTTAGTTTCTAATAGGTGAAAATATGAGTAAGTAGGAATGTGATGGGCACACAGCTAACCTATGAGCCAAGGAATTGCAGGCAGGCCTTTCTTCAACACTTTCTTTGTGTTACTATCACAGACTCTAGTCGTGACAGCCCGTCTGTCTGACCCTACACACAGTCTCTTCTTAGTCTGCCAGTGGGAATGACTAATACTCAAATTCTTAATCCATTGTTTAACTTTCAAGGTTGTCCTGAGTGAGGTAATCAGCCTCTGGGAGTTTATTTATAACATGCAGATACAAGTGCCTACCTTGCACAAATGATGAAAGGAATAGAAATAATGAAAAGCAAGTAAGACAGTATGGATACTCACCAGTGCTCAGTGAACTGTGGCTAGTTATAGTATAGTAGGAGGCCTTTGTCTGAACTAGAAGTTGGCAATTAATTTAGAAAGTTTATTAAAGCAGGGAATCTTAAAAAAAAAGAAGATGCAGTCTTTCCTTCCCTAACCATGCCCTACCAGTACCACTGAGATATCAAACCTGTTAGTTCCACTCCTGGCCTGTCTGATAGACATGAATCACCACCTACAAAGGCTAGAAATACTGCTCCACACATAAAGTTTGGTTGGCAACCTTGCAGCTTTTCCTGCTGAGACCAGATAAATGACCACAGGCCAGAGTAGGAGGAGAAGAAAGTGGGGGTGGCACTCAGCATGGACCACAGAAGAGGAAGATGTGGAGAAACCTGAAATGGGTGGAGGTGGTTAGGAAGGGCTGGAGGGAGGAGGAACCATGATGTGGGAACCGCTTCGGTGATCAGCTGTCCTTCATGCTGCTGCCTGGAGTGGACCATGTTCTACCTGCAGAATTGGGCTGTCCCTGAGCATCTGATTTGTTGGAATGAGTTCTTTTGCCCTGGAGGTCTTGGCAAGCTTTCTTTCTCCATCTGACCTTTCACATATTAGCAACATTGACTCTTGTCAGCCCCAAAACATAAGATGAGGGGATATGGCCTCCTGGAGGGGTTATAAAGTCCTGGAGGGGTTATAAAATCCTGAAGGGATAACCTTACACCCTTGTCAAAGTGAGACTGGACAGAACCAGTTTGACCTGGCCTCCGTGTTGGGATGATGGTGGAACACTCCACCTTGTTATGCATGTTGCAAATTGCAAACTCTATGGATTTAGGGCTCTGTGTTTCAAAGTCAAACTGGAGGCTCTGAACTGGGACCCATATAGTCAATGCAAAATTCATCTGCCAAAGGTGATGCTCATATTGTAATCACATGCACACTTCTGATTTAGTTGTTCTTGCAGCTTATAATTAGACCTTGTTGTCAGGGGGAAAAAAAACTTGAAAGCAGCTGTGTTTTGGTGCTATTCAGATCTGTGACTGACCCAGATTTTAAAAATTAAAAATATGGCATTGGTATTTGTCAAGTCTGCGCCTTGCTCACACACTTTTGTAAGATGAATGATGAGAAGTGTTTTCTAAGCTGTGAGCATATGGAGGAGGAAGGGCCTTGAGGCCCAGGGCACTGACCAGCCCTCGAGCAAAATTCCAAAATTCCAGCCCTCTCACTGATATTTACCTTCACATGCTGAAAGGAAAATGGCAAGATAGATCTCTTCAAATAGATGAGCTTAGGAGCAAGTAGTTATGGAGGCTGTTCATGTTGTGTTCTCAGTGTTTTTGCCACCACTGCCCTCATGACAGAAGTGAGCTATAGAGCTGAAACCTTAATCCCGTCCCAGCACTGTGCAGAGGGTCTGGGTGCCAGGATCCTCCCTCAAACCTTGGAAGAAAGTTAGTGATTTATTCTAAAGAAACAGAATGAATTAGGACTATCCTCTGTGTCTGGCTTTTAGGCTTTCCAAATATAATGGCTGGTTCTCTGCCTGCTCATTATGAAACAAAGCTTTCAGCCTCCCAACCACCCTCTCACACAGAAGTCAGAGGAAGCTCTCCTCTCTCCTCATTCTCAAGCATCTATAAACAATCAAAGATGACTAGACATTAAGGACAAAATAAACTAGCAGATGAAATAATAATACTGGAGGAGGCAGAGATGGCTCAGGGGAACCAACCAAAAAACCAAACAAACAAATTTAAAAGACTCATATAGTTAGTATCCTCACAGGAGAGCGTGCATCCACAAAGTAAGAATAGGTTGCTATGAAAAAGAAAAAGTAAGCGTGCAAAATAGAGGCTTTCCCACAGTTGACAATAATCCTGATAATTTATGTGACCTTACCAATAATGATGTATGGGGCAGAAAGAAAACTTACAAACTGTCAACTATAAAAAAGTGAATTTTGATCAACCACAGAGATAAGATTGAATTATCTTTTCTCTCTATTGGAAATGACATTACAAAATCACTGTCCTATGAAGAGCTTATCAAAAAATAAGTAGCTAGAAGCTGAAGGGAAAAACGTATATAGAGCTTTTTAAAAGTTGTAATTTCTTTTCTCACTCTAAATAAAAATTTACTTTCAGATATAGTTTTATATTCATAATTTAGTATTCTTTTACTAAAAAAGTCCCCCTCAATTGTCTAAGTTTCAGGCCCCACAAAGCCTGGATATGCCCTTGGTAGTGAGTGCCCCCTACATAGCTTGCAGATAGAACAGAGAAGATGACAAGCAAGATGCAGAAGGATTTATACTATAAGATTTCAATTCTTATACTTTTCAAACACATGACCTTTACTATCTATTGTTTATAGCTACATATATAGGTAGTGAAAGTGTGAAAACAGACTAGGAGATACATACCCAGTTCATGAGAATAGTTGCTTTGGAGTATACAGTACTCTATTTTTTACTTCTTTTTTGAAGCAAAAATGAAAAAATGTTAACATAATTATTTGTTTATTTTAATTTCTTTTTTTTAATGTAACATTTTTATTTTGAATAGTAGACACATGGGCATTATTTTATTCTTGGTGATTTTCTGTTTTCAATTTAAATTGTACAGTTGTAAAGTCAGATTCCCTCAGAATTTGGAAGGTATTGTTGACAGTCTTCTGGCATCTAGTATTTCTCATGACAGATCATATGCCAGTCAGATGCCATTTTTTGCAGGTGACCTGCTTTTCCCCTCTTTTCCCTTGCGGTCCTACTGTTTCACAACAATCTATCTGAATGTGGACTTTGAGTCCTTCATCATGCTAGATTTTTGTGAACTTCCTCACTTGAGGACTGACGTCCTTCAGCTCCAAGTGTTTTTCTGTTAGTTCTCTGTCAATTATGTCCTCGCATTTCTGTTCTCTCTCTGGATCTCCAGTTAGTCCAATGTTAGACTTCCTATTTTTGTCTTACCTTTTATGCGGGGTTTTTCTTTTTCTATTTTGTGGGAGATTTCCATCTTACAATCCTTCTGTTAAAAATTTTAGCATTTGTATTTTTAATTTTCCAGATTTCCCCGCTTTTTCATAACATCCTGTTTTTATTTTGTAGATGCTCTGCCTTCTATGAGAATAGTAATTAAATGGTTTGAATTATAGCAGTTGATTCTGTGTGTGTTGTTTGTAGACCGGGTAGTTTCAGCACACATACTAATGTGGATTTTTCTTTAAAGAGTCAAAGTGTAATAGAAAGTCTACCCATTATAAAGTTGTTCAAATCTTGCAATATATTTATGGAAACATTTCAGAATTCTAAAATATAGTTTTAAAACTTGGAAGGGAAACTTGAATGCAAAATTGGAGAAAGTTTATTCAAAAGGTTGATGAACCTTTAATGTATCATTTTAATTGAAATTTGGAAAAAAAACTTTTCTAAGTTTTAATAAAATAAGTAAAAAATTAAGAGTCCTGATTGGATGTGTATGCACTTCATACAGACTGTGGTATAGTATGTATTTGTTCTTTGTCACCAGTTCCTGGCACAGAGCTTCTAAAATCATTTGACTGTCCTGAGTGATGGGATTGTCTTTTGCTGTTTATTAGAAGCCCCTTTCAACCACAGGTGAGTTTATACTAATGAGATGACTCAGAATGGGGCCCCTAAATAGCTTCAGAATAGGGGCTGTTACCAGAAAGAGCAAATACTTTCATAGTCACTTTCATACTTACCCTCTGACGTCCTGGAACATGGTAGGGACTGGAGATTGGGTTATTAAAAGTCTTGAACTACAAGATTCAGAGAGCTGCTGAGTTGGTGAACACAGCTGTGTTTCCAGAGGGTGGCAAACTCTGACTCCCTGGGCACAGAGGCTCTTATTATGCTCAGGACCCTTCTAGACCTCAAACTATGTCCCTCCTCATCTTCATTTGTATCCTGTATAATTAACTATAATAGTAAGTATAGCACTTTTCTGAATTCTATGAGTCATTCTAGTGAATTATCAAACCTGAGAAGGGTATTGTGGGAACCCCCACATTTGTAATCTGCTGGGAGAACGTGTGGGTAGCCTGGGCACCCTGTTTGTGGCTGGCTTCTAAGTGGAAGCAGTCTTGTGGGGTCAGTGCTAACTCTGTGACTTAGTGTCAGGATTGAATTGAATTGTTAGAAAATTTCCTCCCAGTTGTAGGAAAATTGGTGTGGAAAAATGGCACATATCTTGAGTCAGAAGATACCATAGACTCATTTGCTATTTGCAGTTAAGTGCTCTACAAACAAAAATTTTAATGAATTCTATTTTACACATCTTCAGTCAAAAAAGAAAAAATATACATATGATGAGTATAGTCCTGACATGAGAGAACTTCTATTTTGATTAGCTGTCAATGAGAACTAAATCCTCTTCTAATTTTATACATCTGATGATTGAAAGAATTTTCCATAGACTAACCTCAGGATCCTCATCAGTAGCCCTTGTTTCTCCTCCACCCCGCCACATACTTGCTGTGCTGGGCACGGTAAGATGCAGTCATATTGAATATTGATGAGTATTGATGACTGCACCACCATGTCACAATGCTGGTACTGTTGGTACAGTGGATAGTAGAATTCTCTTTGGAAGCCATTTCTATGCCAGAATGTTAATAATAATTATACATGAAAGTTTGGGAGTTTGAGATTTACAGATACTAACTACTGTATATAAAATAGATAAACAACAAATTTCTTCTGGATAGCACAGGGATCTATATTCAATATGTTGTAGTAACCTATAATAGAAAAGAATGTGAAAACAAATATATGTATATATGTATGACTGAAACATTATGCTGTACACCAGAAATTCACACAACGTTGTAAACTGATTATACTTCAATTAAATGTATATATAAAGAAAAAATTATACATGAAAGTGACTATGAGCCACATAAATATATCCGCTTAAATCCAAACTAAAGATATCCTCATCTTCTCCTTAGAATCTCGAAAATGTCTATGGCCATTCTACCAGTACTCTACAAGATGAATAATTGCAGTGGAAAGAAAAAGTGGTCTAATAGTGATGAAACTATTTTGCCTTTGCAAAATTTCAAAAGTATGTGATGAAGCAACCACATTGCTTCAGCTCTCCTACTCTAGGAAGGGGCCTGTACAAGTGAGGAGCCATGAAGCTTCAGCTCCGTAAGCTTCACAGCAAATCAAATGCAGGCATTGCAGTCAGATTGCTTTGGTTCCAAGCATAGCTCCAGCACTTAAAAACTGCTGGACTTTAGATAAATTATTCTAAAATGAGGGTTAAGATAATAATTATATTGTAGGGTTATTATAAGGACTACATGAGATAATACTTGTAAAGTACTTAGAACAGTGCCCCACATAGTAAGCACTTAATTAACATTTTCTTCTTAGGGGAGCTTATCCAGTCTCATGGTTTTGAATACTGTCTATATGCTAATGACTCCAAAATTGAAAACATGTGCCTGTGTCTAGTTTTCCTCTGAAGAATCTTCAAGAAACTAACAATGTCTTCTTATTTATCCTTTACTCTCTTTTTTTTAAATTGAGATATAACTGACTATAACATTATGTTAGTTTCAAGTGTATAACATATGAGTTGGTATTTGTATATATTGCAAGATGATCATCACCATAGGTTTAGTTGACATCTATCACCATACCTAGTAACAATTTTTTTCTTGTGATGAAGACTTTTAAGGTTTACTCTCTTAGCAACCTTCAAATATGCAATACAGTGTTATTAACTATAGTCACCATGCTGTATTCTACCTCCCTGTGACTTATTTATTTTATAACTGAAAATTTGTCCCTTTTAACCCCCTCCACCCATTTTGCCCACTCCCCTCACTTTACTACTTTTTGGAAATTAGTAGTGTGTACTATAATTTTTAATATATATTAAGAAATAAGTAGTCTTGGAATCCTTGTGCACTGTTGGTGGACATGTAATATGGTGTAGCCACTAAGGGAAAAAAGTATGGAGATTACTCAAAAAGCTAAAAATAGAGTTACCATATGATCCAGCAATTCCACTTTTGGGTGTATACCCTAAAGAACTAAAAGCAGGGTCTTGAAAAGATATTTGTACAACCAAGTTCATGGAAGTATTATTCACTATAGCTAAAATGTGAAGTAACCCAGTGTCCATTTATGAATAAATTGATAAACAAAAAGTGGTATATACATATAAGGGAATATTTTTCAGCCTTAAAAATGAAGGAAATCCTGACACATGCTGCAACATTGATGAACCTTGAGGACATTATGCTAAGTGAAATAAGCCAGTCACAAAAAGACAAATACTGTATGATTCTGCTTATATGACGTACTTAGAGCAGTCAAATTCATAGAGAAAGTAGGATCATGGTTTCCAGGGGCTGAAGGGAGTTACTGTGTAATGGGTATAGAGTTTCAGTTTTGCAAGATGAAAAAAGTTTTGGAGATTAGATGCACAACAGAGTGAAGGTACTTAATACTGAATTGGACACTTAAAAATGGTTAAGGTGGTAAATTTTATGTCTTGTATATTTACCATAATTAAACATAATTAAAATTTTTCTATTATATTACCTCACTTTGTTTTTATTTAAACTTATCTTGTTCATTTGTTTGTTTACCTATTTATTGTCTGTCTTTCCTTGTATTGGTCAGGATCCTTGCACAAAAGACACATTCAGATTGGATAATTTGAGGACAAATGTGGGTGAGGTTTTAGGAAACCAACAAGGGATAGTGCAGTATCTTGTCCTAATAATAGGGGTAAGCATTACTACCCACAAGCTTGAAAGGGAGAAGGGGGTTTCGTTGCCTGAACCCAGAGTGGACTGCCTGACAGAATTGTGGTTGTGGTTTTGTAGTTTTGATACAGGGATATAGGCAAGAAGGGAGACAGAACCGGAAGACAAGAGAGCCCATTGATGTGGTCTTTTAGTCAGCTCTAGAGGCACAGAGCTGGGTGGAGAAGTGTGGAAAGTGGATTTGGAGAACAAACAAATCTGGCACACCCCTTGCCTAGAAGGTATGTTCTTTAATGCAATAACCTTGTCTATCTTATACCTCATTGTGCCCTAGCACCTAGAACAGACCTGAGGGATAATAGTAATAACTAACATTCACTGGATTTTTATTATATTCTGGGCATTTCTGTGAGCTTTACATGTATTAAATAATTTAGTCTTCATGTCAACTGTTTTAGGTATTATTATTATTAAATATTACTATCACCATTTTCTAGATGATGAAATAGGCACAGACAAGGCTAGATTTTACAGATCTGGACTCTAACCCAGGTTATTTGGCAGTATGACCCTCACTCTTTAAAAAGAAAAAAATTTCCCCCCAGCTTTATTGAGATATAATTGATATATAACATTGTATAAGTTTAAAGTATAAAACATGTTGATTTGATACATTTATAAATTGTAAAATGATTACCACCGTAGTATTAACTGCCACCTCCTTCTAGTCACATACCATTTCTCTTTTCTGGTGAGAACATTTGAGATCCACTCTCTTAGCAACATTCAAGTGTATGAAATAGTATTATTAGCTATAATCACCATGCTGTGCATTAGATTCTCAAACTTGTTAATTTTATCTCTAGAACTTTGTACCCTTTGAGCAATATTTTCCTGTTACTCCCATCCCCCAACTCCCATCCCAACCCCTGGTAACCACCACTTTTCTCTCTATGATCCTCACTCTCAATCACCATATTACAGTGCTCAACAAAGTTATTCTCTGCCTATTCAACATCATTTCTTATATCCAATACTCACAATCTTTTTTTTTTTCTGAAGCTACGACTTTCTCTTCAAACATACTCCTTTGGAGAGTTAACTCTCTGCCAGTTATTTGTAGTGTATAGTGCATCTTCCAACTGAAAAAAAGTGGGATCTTTAAGTTCTGGATTTGGGGTAAGAAAATAATTTGAGTCCATAAGAGTGTCCAGTTATTAAAATAGAATGAATTCTCAGATTTTCTAGAACAGATATATCTTGGTTGCATGACAGATTGTATTGTCAATATGCTAATACAATATTTGTATATCTGGTAAAATCTTAGAGAAGCAATAGGAAAAGGAAGTCCATGATTTTACTTGATACGAAGACACATAGGGAAAAATAATAATAGATGCCATTTACTTTGTTTTGGGCATCTGATCATCTCATTTAATTTTTTAAAAAATTTATTTTTTACCCTTTGACCAACATCTCCTCATTTCCTCCCCACCCTAAGCCCCTGGAAACCACCATTCTACTCTGTCTCTATGACTTTGGCTTTTTTTTAAAGATTCCACATATAAGTTGGATCCTGCAGTATTTGTCTTTCTCTGTCTGACTTATCTCACTTAGCATATACCTTCAAGGTCCATCATGTTGCAAATGGCAGAATTTCTTTCTTTTTTATTGGTTGAATTTATATATATATATATATATTACATATATATATAAATATATATATATATGTAAACACTTTATCCATTCATCTATTGACAGACGCTCAGGTTATTTCCATGTCTTGGCTATTGTAAATAATGGTGCAATGAACATTAAGGTGCAGATATCTCTTCAAGATAGTAACTTTGTTTCCTCGGGTATATCACC